CACAGACAAGGGAGAGGAGAGGGAGGAAGAGAGTAGGAGTCGAGTGTGTGTGGCGGGGGGGAGTGAACAGCACATGCAGCTGGCCAGTTGCTGGGAACTGTTTCCTAAGGACATAGCATCCCTGCTTAACTAGAATCCTGGGGTGGATTCCAGAGAATGCCCTGGTCTTCTGGGCCAGTACAGTCACAGTAAGGAAGGCAAGGCAGGCATTTTAGGTAGGAATTATAGTTTATGAAGTTCGTCCTTCTATCTCTAGCATCTAGAACTGTGCCTGGCACATAGTAGGCCCATGATAAATATTGAATGAATAAAGGAATGAAAGAATGCTTTCAGAAGCATGATCTCATTCAATCTGCAAAGTGAGGCACAGGCAAGGCAGGCTTTGCCTCATCTTGCAGATGGGGAACTGAGATCAAGAGAGTAAGTATCTTGCCTAAGCTCATTCAACTTAGATGTGACAGACCCGAAGCTAGGTCCTGTGTGCTCTCCGTAGTACCATGCTGAACGGTCTTGGTATGGCAACCCAGGAATACATCCTGTGACTGGACGTGAACTTCCTTTTGAGTCGTGCTGGTCAGAAAATAGCCTTTCTGGGGCCCAGTTTCCTGGACGTGGTCTCAGGACCAAGTTCTGACATCCTGGTTCTCCTTGCACACGTGGTATCTGCCTGTTATTATAGTCTCTGTTATTATAGTCTCTGTTATTATGGTCTCCATTAGTCTCTGTTGCCGCATCTGACTTAGGAGATCTAGACACAGAGGCAGGGGGCTGGTGGCTTTACTCTGGGAGTAAGGAATAGAATGAAATCACATATATTTAGTTCCTTATTCTCTCACTCTTGATAGAAACTTCAGATAGTCTAGGCCACCAAGTTAGTTTCTGGAACTTGGGCAAGCAACTAACTCATATACAGCAAGGCTTTCCAGGAGCTCATAGCTTGACAAAAATTTCGGGAAGGAGATCTCCAAAGCCAGCAGAGGGCTCCCCTGAACTTCAACATCTTATATCACCTTGCCCTTCTCTTCACAGCATTCTGTCTTGTACCCCGCTCTTATAGAGGCAGTGAGGTCTAGAACACAGGAGCAAGGATCAGAAAACATGGGTTCTTATGCTGGCTTTGCCATGCATCAACTATGAATCTTCTCTCCAACTCATTTTCCTCATCTGCAAAATGGGAATAAGGATCCCAGCTACATAATAAGGCAGCTGTGAGTTTAAAAGGGAATGATTTGTATCGAAGTGTTTTTTGTTTTTTTATTTTTTTAGCACAAGACAGAAACAATGCTAGTACTATTTTTATGGCAAGAAAAAAAAAAAAAGACAGAGGAGGGAAACTTTCAGGGTGCCCCAAAGCTCTCTGTTCCCATTTGTTCACTGTTTCATTCGTGATACAGCACCTATGTGAACTAGAGATGCACAAGTGCTGGGGGAGGGACAAAGATATTTAAGATGTAGTCTCTGTCCTCAAATAACTGAAAGACTAGCACAGACTGTGCACCAAAAGATGGACACAGAAATTTCAGATAGTGAGAAAGATTAGAGTGGAAGGGAAGTTCTGTGAAGAGTTGGAGGCTCTAGGATTGTTCAACCAGGTGAAGAGGCCTCAGTGGGAAGGAGGGGGAAGAAGGGTGTCATGCTGCATAACGGTCTCCAAGCCTCTTTGTTGGGGAGGAAATGAAGTCATCCTGCTCTTGAAAATCAGCATGACGGCCTCCAGCCAAGTAATCTGGAGTCATGAGAGCTGCTAGGGGGAGCTCTGTGAATCACGAAAGACTGCCGGGAATTTCCTGATAACCTACGAGTTTCGGGGTAAGTCCTCAGGCTGCAACATCTCTGTTTACATTTTGATCACGTTTATTTACAATTAATGAGTTCTAAATCCAAACAAAACATTCTAGGCAGGCTCTGAGACTTATAGCACCTCTGACTCAGTCCATCCTCTGGGAGGCTGGCAGCTCAGCCAGACATAAACTCTTGGAGGACAATGGGTCACCTGCCTCCTCAAAGCTGGATGGTTAACTTGCACTTTCTCCAGGTAGAGGCTGGTATCCTGAGACCTCTGGCTAGAACAGAGCAAAGAGGCTCTCCTCTTTTCTACCCTCCTGGCACTCTCCCTGCCCTCCTCCTGGCCCTCTCAAATAGACCCAGACCCAAGGGCCAGGTTTCCTAGGCAGCAAAATGCTGTAGGCCTAGGCAGTGAGAGAGCTCAAGCCTTGCACCTGGCCTTGGACCCCTAGTAAGTTACAGGGACTCGGCCCCTTTCCCTCCCGTCAAGGGGGAGAGTCTTGCTGAGTGGAATCTAAGTGACCCCAAGTCCTGGTTCCCAGCACTAGGGGGAATGGATGGGGGGTGACTGAACCTCAGAGTTCCTGCTGTGTTTTTTCAGCTATGCCTGAGGGACGTGTGTGTACATATGTGTGTGTATACAACTGTGCATTCATTATCAGGCAGGAAGAGCAGGTTGAGTCCTTTACATATGATCTGTCTTTCTGGAGACCTGTCTTATTAGAAACAAGGCCCTGTGCTGAAGTAGAACACTAAATACACATACATTTAAAAATCTGTAATTATCTTTTTGGAGTGGATGATACAAAAGTGTGTTTTTAAAATTTAAACAGTGTAAATTCTTGTCCTCCAGATCCCCAATTGCTCTCCTCAGAGGTGAAAACAGAACTTCCTACTCCTCCACAGCTTACCGTCTGCCTACATTAATAAGGCTTTACTATTACTTTGTCTTTATTAACTAACTGTACTCTAGCCCAGGCAAATAAATGGATCGTTCATTACAGGAACTTTCTGAAAGACCTATCAACGCTTCAATAAAAAGCATCAAAAGTTTGTGCCCTAAGACTTTGTTCTCCCAGTACTACAAGATTGTATCACGACCCTTTCTAACCTTTATCAAGCCCTTGATAAAATCCGACTTCTCCTTTCCCCCTTCTGCATACACTACCCAACTCGTTTACCGCGGTAAGCAAATTATCTCAGTTTTGTCTTATCCACTGGTTGTGTTGATGATATTTGGGGAGCCGGCATTTGATAGAAGCAGGCCCCGTTAGCAGATTTTTTGTCTGTATTTTCAACGAGCGCGTGTCATGTGCATTTTCACCTTGAGAAAAAGATTTCACAGCTATATGAGCTGCGGACTGTGACTCTATACCCAGGCTTCTCATTCACTCTCCTCGGCAGTCGGGGGCCGAGGGTTGAAAGATTGGGGAAGAGCCGATTTGGGGCATCTGAGGGGGAGGCATCAGAGCTGGACCTCGGAGAGAGTCACCCCAGCGCCTCTCCACTCTGCAACTGGGTGGGTAGTGGGTGGGCTGCCCTGGAGCGGGCCCAGGCCAAGCGAATGGGAGGAGGGGCGGGGAATTTAGACGCCTCTCTATCTCTCAGTTCAGACTTCGTTTGTCCCCTTCGCTGGGTACTGCGCGGCTCCACATTCTTAGTCTTAGTTGGGGAAGCACGCAGGGTCCGGTCGCTGAGAGCTCCAGAGAAGGGGAGGAAAAGGGAGTGGACCGGGCGATCCCGGGCCGGGGCGGGGCCAGGGCGTAGGCGGGTCTTAATATACAGCCGGTGCCGCGGGCGAGCCGCACAGCGCAGAGACTGCAGCCCCAGACCCCTTCCGA